TATATATCTTATTGGTCAATTAACTCTGTTTTTTTTCATTTTGTTTTTAATTATTCTGAAATTCTTAGGTCATTATTTATGGAATCGAAGCACCATGTCCTCAAATAATGAGGCAGAGGATATTAGAACATTGTTCAATTCAAACATTCCGATATGTGAACCATATAGGAGCATTTTAAAATAAAAACACTCTCATAAATGCTTAAAAAATTAAATTAAAAAAAAAGCACTCATGAAATTTTTTTTAATTTAAAAAATTTTAGGAGCAAACATAATAAAAAAATTTAATTTATACTTACAGGAGCTTTTCTCATCAGAAAAGCTCCCACAGGTATAAATTAAAAAAAAAATCAAAAAGTAATTGCAAAACTTTTCTAATTAAGAAATAATACTTTCAATTTTTTCTTAAATTAAAAGTAGTTGCAAAACTTTTCTAATGAAGAAATAATACTTTCAATTTTTTTTTTAAATTTATATCTATTAGAAAAGCTACCATAGGATCTTAGATGGGATAATAAAACGCTCGAGTATGATATTTATTTATTTTTTAAAATTTTTAATTTACTCCTTTTAATTCTTTCTTTCTAGATCGTCATTCCCATTGCTCACCCCCTTCTCCAACCTCTTATCCAAAACAAGGTCTATTGTCTGAGTCCCCAATCTACTGTAGATCGTGAGTTTCTTCGGTCATCTTCTATTCGAGCTTGTAACCCTCGTCCTCAATCACGTGTTCCAGATTTGGTATTATCGTCATCTTCTTGCGTCCATATCTACCGTGGCATCCGTGCATTCAGATCTTTTGAAGGTCAGACGTCGTCATCGTGTTCCAGTCCATTGAAGCTACCGATGACGTCATGTCAAGGTTTGTTGAAACTCTCAGGCGTTTGTGTGTTAAGCCTATTGTGATTTGCTCTTTTTTTTAGCCAGATTCTCGCATTTTCCAGATCATCTTTGCTCTTCTTTTAGCCTTCATTCTTGCGTCCTTTGGTCCCTGCTTCTATTCAGCTTCTAGGTTTTTTAATAAATTATATAGCTATTTATTTTGTTTACGAATATGACAAATTACTGATCATAGTTAATCCTCACATTTATTTGTTTAAGAATATTCTGCCTCTCAGATTTATTCTTCTCGGTAGATCATGTTACTTTGCAACACTTAAATTAATGGAAAATAGCTTATTTCATCCTATCTTGAATTAAACCTTTACTCATATTGAGCCCTGCATCTCGGGACTAAAGTGGTAAGTTATGTGTCCGTTTGCAATTTTCCTTTCATGGATTCTATGTTATTCCAGGTTGGTGTTACGTCTTCAGCAGCAATTAGGCCCACACAAAACAAGTTTCTATTTGTTTGTTTTTCTCACATTAATTCATGGCCTGCTATATATCAAATCATAGGAACAGCTTCCGTTTGCTTCATTTGTTCTAAAATAGAAGGGAATAAGCTTTTAGCATGCTTCAGAGTTTGAAGCACTATTGGTTGATCTGATTTCTGTTATAGTATTTTCATTGTGGATTCATTTTACACAGCAACAGCTACAATCTTTGCTTGAAACTCTGAATGCTACTGAGCCACATTACATTCATTGCATCAAGCCAAATAATCTTCTCAAGCCAAGGATATATGAGAACACTAATGTGTTACAGCAACTTCAATTTCAAAAATTCAAAAAGCTATTAAACTGAATGATAGCCAGTGAATTTATTTGCAAATCAACATCAAAGTTAACATATATTTTGATTTTTCATAGATATGGCTTAGCTGCTGCTGTGATATCGAATGATCTGGAAAGATGTGAACATTTAACTAAGGTGAGACTGATTTAAGATTGTGATAAAAGCAACAAAATGATTTGGTTGCTTTTGGACATTTTTTTTTTTATTTGGGGATTAGGTTGCTTTTGGATTAAAATAGTATTTTGCTTCTCTTTAGGTTTTTCAGGTGGGAATTGTATGGATCAATTGCTCTCAACCGTGCTTCACTCAAATCCTATGGGGAGGCATTAAATGTAGTGGTTTTGATCATGAACTAGGAGAATAGTATGCTCTTATTTCCTAAATAATAAATGTAAGAGTCACTGTGAATGCCTTTTATAATTTCTACAAGTGATTGTGACAACGCTATCTTGTTATGATGAAGAAAATCCTCATTACTCTGCACATGTTTTGTTAATGCTTTTTACAGACATGCTACAAAACTGACAAGACGAACAAGTGAAAAATATATACTTGGATGCAAACAGAAAGCAAGCATACTTATTTTCTCAAATCTGTTACTTGTTGAGGACGAATCTGAGTCTTCAAATGCAAGTTAGGAAAGCATATTATAAGCAATGAGAACTGGTTTGTGGTCAACTTGGTGCTTTGTTGTGCTTTTTAAGTTGGTCATGACATCTTATTTTATCTGCTCTTCCTTGTGTGGTCTCATTAGAGCATATATGAGTTTAAGGAGATTAGTGTCACTAATTTGAGACAAATGACAATAAACTAGCACAATATCTATCAATTTACAGGTCAGGCATATTCCCTCTAGTGCTTCATATGCCAAGTTGCTCGTTTTTTTCTCCCTTGCAGACATTAGATTCTAGAGAAAGCACCAGGTTATTGTACTGCAGAATTCTAACTACATAGGAGTAGTTGTGCATGTTGTTGGAAAAGCACCGACTAATTTAGGAAAAATCTAGAATTAGAATAAATCAAGAAAAATCCAGAAATTTTCTCAGCTGAAGCAATATCACAAAGGCGGTGAAAGGATGATTCTAGAATTAATTATTTTAATGCTCTAAAAGCAGTGATAGAGGAAAATTGAGAATGCTGTGGAGAAGAGAGAATGGAGAAAGAAGAAAGAAGAAAGAAGAGTGTGTGAGAGTGAGGAAAGAAAGAGAAAATAAGAAGCACGTGTGGGTATAGCCGTGTAGAATATGAATAGGTGGTGAGAAAAGTGAGAAAGAGTGTCAGCAAGAAAGAGAAAAAGAAAAAGAATGAGGGAAAATTATGAGAGAAGATAGAAGTATTTGCGTAAATTATAGTTTGAGTGAGTAGTAAAAATTTATTTTCAGTTTAGTCACTCTCTTCCTCCATCATCAAATCCCAACATTTGATATCAAAGCTAGAGCTATTGAGACGTAGCTGGGCTGCTCAATAGTAGTTGGTAGAGTTTGAGTATTTAGGCGGAAGACTTTGGGAGTCTAGATTTGCTCGAGGATCTACTAGTACATAGTCTGGGATTGTAGAGTAGATTGGTTAGGGACCAGATCCGCTTGGTGTAAGTGCAAGGCACTATTGAGTTCATCATGGCAAACATAACGTTGAATGCTTGTTTAGTAGAGAAGCTAAACCATGAGAATTATCAAGTATAGAGTATAATAGTTGAGCTCTACCTCGGAGGTTAGAATCTTTGGGATCTCATTGATGGAGATGACATTACACTCCCAACAAATCCAAGTGAATTGAAGAATTGGCAGGTGAGGGCTAAGAAAGCTCTTTACATAGTGATTGTTATTGTTGAGCTATAATTCATTAGATATGTCAAATATGATGTGAAGTTGCAGTTGCTGGAGAATGAGCTTGCCTCGATTCGACAAAATGATATACGAGTAAGTGAGTATTTTTCAAAGTTAAATCTATTTGTAATGAGATTTCAAAGTTAGATCCAAGGAACCCTATCACTGACACAAGGATGAAGAGAATTATTATTATGGGGGTTAAACCCAAAATATCATGGTCTAGTCACGGCAACAAGAGTTGGTCTAAGGAACCAACTTTAGTTGAGTTGGAAAGTATCCTAGCTAATCAAGAAGCATTGGATACTCAAATGTCCAAAGTTTTTTTAAAAGATGATGAAAAGGCTCTCTTTCGTAAAAAGAGATATCAATGAGAGGATTCCAACTCAAAGAAGGAGGGAGATGGTAAAAGGTGACAAAATGATTGGCATAGAGGATGTCACAATAGAAGCTCACATCAAGGGGATCTTGTGAAGATTGAAACAAGCATGAAGAGAGGAAAAACTATCAAAAAAGAGGCCATTGCTATAGTTGAGGGAATGCCGGCCACTTTGCTCGAGACTATTGGTATAAAATGGCCGAAGGAAATTTTGTCACCTCCAACAATAAGACAGCGAGGAAGAATGGGATTTTCAGGCTTCAAGTACCATTGAAGAAGAGATAGCGATAGAAGATTTTAGTGAAGAAGAAATAGTAGTGTCCTGCATTGTGGAAGAAGCAAACTAAGACAAGGAAGAGAGCATTAAGGTAAACAAGAATGAAGAAGCAAATAAGGATGTGGAAGATATGGAGAAACTCAATTTGGTGAAAGTAATTGAATCATGTTTTGGTATTCAAAGATCAATCAAGAAAAAATATGAAGATGAAAACAAAGAACATAGAGAGGAAGACTAATCACCACCATTTATGAAGATACAGAAGTCCAGTGTCAAGAATGTTTCAAGGCACAAAATGAAGACCAGTGCTTACGAGTCTCCTCAACAAGATAGAGTAGATTGCGACAAGTTCAAGAAACCGTTTAGGAGACTGAGAAAAACAAGAAGCAATTTGGCTTGGCAAAGATGTGCAGAGAGAACGAAGAAAGAAGAAAGAAGAAAGAAGAGTGTGAGAGTGAGAAAAGAAAGAGAAAATAAGAAGTGCGTGTGGGTGTAGCCTTGTAAAATATGAATAGGTGGTGAGAAAAGTGAGATAGTGTCAGCTAGAAAGATAGAAAGAGAAAGAATGAGGGAAAATTATGAGAGAAGATATAAGTATTTGTAAAAATTATAATTTGAGTGAGTAATAAAAACTTATTTTCAATTGAGTCCCTCTCTTCCTCCGTCATAAAATCCCAACACGTCACAGGTAATTCAGACGATAACTAGTGTTTGCCCCTTGTGACATGCACAAGATTTAGTTAATGCAAAATTTTAATCGTCTGGTAAACACTAGTTATAGTTTGAATTGCCACCTAGATTATATATTTGTGACTGAAAATTAGCTAAAGTTTATTCAAATACTACTGAATTATTAATTTTTTTTTTGTGCCCTTTGATGAAGAAGAATTATTATTAGTGGGGCTTGAAAGTTGGAAGTACTAAATGTATATAAACAATGTCTTGTGTGTAATAAATGTTGAATTATGGAAACATGAATCAACAAGATCAATGTGCGTACATACAAATAAGCTTTTATTTGATATTGATTTTGTTAAAGTCCAGAAACACATGCACTGATTCGATCTTGGATGGTATTTATATCTCTTTTTTCCTACATTATTGTTCCTCTGCTTCAATTTCTGTTGATATATGCAACCTTCAATTGTAAATTAAACCTTGAAGATTATCAGGTACCAATTGGTCTCAGCTGATATTTGCATTTAAGCCCAGTAAAGTTTTTGCTGAGCATGGGATGGTAGGAATTATCAATATTTTTCTTTTTCTTTGTCAACCATTTTGACTTGTTTTTAAGAAAATGATTTGCGAGTTATATTTTTAAGTAAATTTTGCTTGAGTAGTTATCCTCTGACAAAGGGAAATCGTTAAGCTTCACGGCTCGTTATTGATGGAGTTTAGTGTTATTATATTTGTAATTTTTGATATTCTTATATATAGCATTTTTTTCGTCCAAATCGCATTTTCGATGGGTTCCTTTGCTTGAGAGAAAGTGATCCTACCTAGAAATTTCATTCATTTTCTAATAGATTTGTTTGTTTGTTTGTTTAGTTGTTCTAGTTTTGACTTTGGGTATCTGAAGTCGTTACTAACTCACATTAATTGTATAAATAAAATTTCTTGTACAAGTTGATAGTATATTATTATATCTTGTTATTATAATTTATTTGTTAAGAGATGTGTATTTAAATTTTTAGTTAAATGATTATAACATTTAAAATTAAATATGAAGCAGGCCAGCATTAAAAAATAAATATAGTTTTTTTTTTTAAATAAACCTACGGGGATGTTTTCAGTAAAAAAAAAAAAAAAGTTCCTATAGAGGTACCATATGGGAGCTATCTGGAGGAGTAACACTTATGATAGGCCTACAGGAGCTCTTCTTCTATGAAATGCTCCAGTAGGCCTATCATATAATTGCTTTTCTACATATAAAAGCTCTTGTGAGGCAGGCCAATAGAAGCATTTATGGTAAAAAATGTTCATATATGCTTACCTACATGAGGGTTTCAAAAACAATCGAACTCATGTTTTTGGTGCATTTTGAAAAGGTGAAAATAAATGCTCTGGAAGGCTTTTTTTATAGTAGTATCTAACAACTCACCAATTACATGCTTGTTGCCTTTTATATAGAGAGAGGCAACAATGCTTTCCTTCAAATTTGAATTTCACTACCAGAAGGAATAATATAACCATTTGCTCCGATTTGAGTATTGTCGGTGCGCTTTGTTTAGGGTGAGTGGCAAGGTGATTGCTTTGAGTTTCTTCAGTAGTGGGGAAAGTGGCCTCAAGACTTGGATGCCACTATCAAAATGCAGCGTTTCCGTTAAAATGCCGCTAGGGCCTGGTCTTATTGGGTTGTTGTGCGGTTTCCTCCGTACTGGGCCTTAGTTGATTTTTGATTTCAAGCCTAATGCACCAATTTAATTAGCCCAAACACACTTTATTAATTAGATAGCATAGTTATTAATGGTATGGGGTTTTGAGGGAAACAAAAAAAATTAAAAGGTTAGGAAGGTTAATTTTAATTAAACATTTGAAAGGGAGAGGGTATTTTTTTTGGGTCAAAAAAAGTGAGCGTTATAATCAACTATATTAAAATTCAAGGGAATTTTGTTTATTTTGACTTTCATAATACCATTCATTGAATTTTTACTCCGTGGTTTTTTCTCTCAAATAGATTTGTGTTGATATGCAATAATTAATAACTGCTTAAAGTATTAATTCTTAATAAACTACCTCAGAATAATATTGAGTAATTTTTAAATTTCAAAGCATTATCAAAGTTTAGTCGTATTCCTTAATCTTTTTTTAATGGGTTATTATAATAAGGATCAAAGGGATAATATTCAAAGGAAATAATTGTAATACAGAAAACATCTGTCTCAACTTTTGAAGAAAAGCTTCACAAGAAGATTCTCACACTTAACTTCACCGCACTAATTAGTTCTTGGGTGCACAATCATATGGAGTTCGAAGTTCACGAACATACGTGCAGGGTACTGTTGTCGTTTATTGCAGAACACTGATAATTGATATAAGAAATTTAAGTATATACCTGCATTATGCCAAAAAAAAAAAATCGACCGTTAGGTCAAAAGAACTAGATGAAAGAAAAGCTATACAACTATGCTTACATGTTTTTCTTAATTTTTGATTATTTATTTGATTAACATATTTTTAAATACCAATTATAAAATGTAACAAAAGCTACTTAAGTAAACAGTTTAATAGGAAAAATTAAATAATATAGAACATAGAATAAAATGAAAGGTAAATTGTATAATATTGGGCGCTCATGGAGTTAATTATGCCTATTTAAGGTTATATTGCATTTAATTGGGATGTAAAATTCGTATTTTACTAATTATTGCCTTAAGTAGGTATTTTATGGAGACTCCATATTATATCAAGCATTTAATAAAAAAATTGACTTGTGAATTATAAAGTTTTACCTGTAAATTTTGAAATTCCAATTGTAAGTGAAAGCCAAAAACAAACAACCTCAAACTATAATTAGGTTTCAAAAGATTTCATTATAATTTTTAAATTTTAAAAGATTTTTTTGCAAATAAATATATTGTATGGGATTTATTCATAATTTTTTTAAGAATTACCCGATCTCATTTGGGAAGATGTCCCCCCACCCCCCCCTAAAAAAAAATTGGCATGGCTAGCCAAAACTGTTAGCTAGTTACGATCATTATCCCCGCCTCGATAGATGAGGTTTATAGCATCCAAGGAATCTGAATATATCTTCGCCATCAAAATAAGGAGCAGATTCAAACAAAATTCCATTCCCCGTCTAATGGCCTTGATCTCAGCATTAGTTATTGGTACGCTGCCCACTTTGTAGATAAAACCTTTCAGCCACATGTTGCACTATTATGCTGAGGATGCATCCACATCAATGCGCACATGCCCTCTGGTGGGGTCCATCAACTTCTGATTTTTGAGTAGCATTTCCTCTGCACCTATTTGTCCAGAGAAGCTATCAGATGTTCCCAAACACTTGGGTCCGAGATTAGTGTTGGAATTGACGGCCCCAATCTTGTGTGATGTACGTATTATATGAGAAAAAATGTGGTTATGATAAATAATAAATAATAATAAACTGGATTAATAATATCATTTCCTGTATTTTTTTTTGGCTCTCAAGCAATCTCTCAATATATGAGGAAAAAAAATGATTACCAATTTACGGGAGACTGAAATGAGATTTTTTATTCTTTTTTTTTTTGTTTTGCACAAAAAGGAACCCATTTTATTAAGAAAAAAAAATTATTACACACACGAATCACAAAAAGCAAAAGGAAAAAGAACACCTAGGATACAACTTATCAGGAAAGTAAATTCCTAAAATACAACCCACAAAGAAAAAACAAACCAAAAAAGAACAGCACTTGCAAAAAAAGAAAGAAACAGTCAACCAATACCTTCACATGGCCGAGCCTCAAACACCCCACCACTTGAACAATGCAACCTTTTAGAATCAGCGAAAAGAATTGGTACCGGAGGAGATGGTGCTTCAAGAAGTCATCCAGCAGGATACATCTCCCTCAAACCTTTAGCTGCAAGCAGATCGTTTTGGAAGTGCTAATATGGTAACAATTATTTAAGCAGAAAATTCATGGATAGCTTGGAACATATGGTAGCGGTGAAGGACATAATTTAGTCTCCCACAATTATTTATGTTGTAGGGATTGCACGAGGAAAGGCATTATAATGTAATTTGTCTCATGCTAATTGGATGTGTGCAAATTGAGGCAGAGCAATGATAGGATAATATTGTAGAATTCCATAGAGTTCCATCATTTTAGTCGTAGGTCAAGAATTACAATATTCCTTTGATAGGCTTTTCAATAAGCTTTGGGTACTGTCACAAACTAATGATTGATATGAAAGAACAATTCAAATTTTAGACATTATACTAGGATATTGTGTTTTGGTTGTTGGTGGAAGTTGGAACAACTACTTTGGACTTTAGGGAGTTGCACTATAACAATAAATATTTCCATTTGAATGGTGTGATGTTAAAATAAAATTTTTTGGAGACTAAATTTGGTGCAAGATGTCATTGTGAAGGTGAAGGTAAGTAGAGAAAGACTACTAACAACTAAAAGTCGTTAGGAATCTTGTGTGGACAATTGATATCAAGAGTTAGAGATTATAATCAAGGGAAAAGTGCTTCTCAAGGTATCTCCTATAAAGAGTGTGATGAAATCTAGGAAGAAAGGAAAATTGAGCTCAAGGTATATCAACCCATTTGAGATCCAAGAGAGAGTGGTGTTACTTGCTAGTTGGCATTAATGCTTGAATTATCGGGTATTCATACAATATTTCATGTATTGATGCAGTGAAATATTTTTATGACCTTTCACATACACCTTTCTCATAGAACAAAAATTTAACATAGGAAAAAGTTCCTGTGACCATTAAAAATAGACAAATACAAAAGTTATGATTAAAAGAAATTACCTTCGTGAAGGTGTTGGGATGTGAACATTTTGGAGAGGACACTATATGGGAAGTTGAAAGTTATCTGCACTTATTCGAAGAATGAGATCAAATAATATTTAAATTCTGAGGACCAAATTTTTTTTAAGGGGGGAGAATTTCATAACCCAGAAATTCAAGTTAATTAAAATTTATAGCAAGGTAATTTATGTGTATATTTATTAAGTTTTGGAATAGATTTAACAAGGTGATTGGTCGTTTAGTGGTAACTACACCTAATGTGCATCCAAAGGTCCAGTGTTTGAATTCTTTAAATCCTCTGAGCATCTTTATTTTCTCTTTTGTCTTAGCCTTTATAAAATTTCCATTATGCCATTTATTAAAAAAATAAAAAAGATTAGAGCCCGAAAATGCATCAAATCTTAATTTCTTCTCCTTCCCATTCTTGGATGGCTCAAGAACTAAGCCAAAGAGAGTGAGCTTGGCCCTTTCCTCTATTCTCCAACTTGTCCTTGAGCTCCTTGATGGCTATAGTTAGAAATGGGAGCTATGAACCTTCTTGCAAGAAGATTTCATAGGTTCCCAATACTGCCTTCAAGTCATTGGCATGCCTGATCTGCATTTCTTTATGCAAGATCTCTAGCAACATAATGAGTCAATAGTTGATCAACCTCCTCATCTGACTTTTCCTTGATCTCACAAGATCCTCAACTAGAGTTAGGTCTTTTCCCAATAACTTTGCTAACAGAAAATGGTTCTATTGAAGTCTTTGCTTGCTTTGAAGCCCTTGCTTTCCTTACCTTTTCACTTAAAGGATTACCAAACAATGTGGGCTCTGATGGATCCTCTTCACTCTTAGGTGAATAATTAGTTAGAGGAGAGTAGTTTGGACATTCAAAACCATTAGACATTATCTGTTTAATATCGAAATTA